TTACTTAACAGTTACCAGATGACATGTCATATAATAATCCACGTGTAAGATAATATAACCAAAAAGTGATGATGTGGAAAAAAAATATTATAAAAAAATATTATAAAAAATAAAACTTAAAATTTTTTTTCTTTCTCCTTTTTTTCTTTTTTTTTTTTTTCTTTTTTCTTTCTCCTTCCCCTTTCCCTTTCTCTTTCTCTTTCCCCTTTCTCTTTTCTTTCCCCTCGGAACCCAGCAGGTCTGGGTTCCTTCGAACCCACCCAGGCGTTGGGTTCCTTGCGAACCCAGCACCTGGGTTCGCAAGGAACCCAAGCATGCTGGGTTCGCGTCTGGGTTCGCACCGAACCCAGCATGCTTGGGTTTGGTGGAACCCAGCATGCCTGGGTTTGGTGGAACCCAACACGCTTGGGTTTGCGCCTGGGTTCCTACAAACCCAGCACACTTGGGTTCCTTGCGATCCCAGGTGCAAAAAATTTTTTAAAAAAAATTTCTATTTTTGATTTTTGGATTTTGTTGTTTGATTGTGATGAAAAATTGATTGATGAAGATGAAGAAGGCAAGGCAAGGTAGTTGCTGGGTTACTGCAGGTGTTGGGTTCGATTTTTCAATTTCGAATGCTAGGTTTTTGCAGGTATTTGGTTCGTTTGCAGGTACTTGGTTCATTTGCAAGTGCTGGGTTCGAAATCGAACCTAGCAAGCGGTGGGTTTGAGCAGCCGTTGAGTTCCTGCAAGTGAGGTTCTGGGTTTCGTTTCGAACCCAGCAGCCGTTGGGTCAAATATCTATTGGGTTTAATCTGTTGATTTGTTGTGTTATCCTCGAATTTAATATTAGGAGTTAGGGTTTGCAGAAGGTTAAAGGAAAGGGAGAGGAATAAGAAAGGGAAAAAGGAAAAACAAACGGAAAAAAAAAAAAAAAGGAATAACAAATTTTTTAAGATTTTTTTCTTGCCATCTCATTTTTTTGTCGCACTATACATCCTAGGTGTCAAAATGTTTTTACATGTCATCATTTTCCTGTCAAGTAACGGGACACGTAGGTTGATATTTGACGAAAGGACCAAATCGAGATAAAAATGGTAAACAATAGGGACCAAATCAGGGATTTTTTTAGTTCAGGGACCAAATTGAGGGTCCGTACAATAATTCAGGAACCAAAAAGGGGTTTTAACCTAAATATTATTGCATATATCCATTGTATTCAACCTAAAAAATAGTTTGCATACAACATATTCTTAATTTTGAGACTCAGGTATAAACAACAAATTAAACAACAAAAATAACCTGCATACAATAATTTTTAATTTGTTATTTATACCTGAGTCTCAAAATTAAGAATATGTTGTATGCAGGCTATTTTTTAGGTTGAATACAATGGATATATG